TAGCTCTAGAGGAAATGAGCAAATCTCACACTGGACTCATGAAAACCTTAGAAACAAGATTCTTAAAAGGTTTGGAATCACTTCAAAGTACAGTTAGTACTCTTTCTTTAGCCGTTGAAAACTTGAACAGCCAGTACAGTAAAATGTCAACAACACCAAATAAATCAAAAAGTCCTGAAAATGAAATTAACTCAATAAAAAACAAGCTTAAGAAATCAGATGAAATCAAGAATGAACTTCAAGTTAAAATCGCAAATCAACAACTTGAATTAGAAACTAAAGAAGCCCAACTGAAGAATGAAAAAATCATGCACAATACATGCAAACACCAACTCCTTGACTTGTTGGAAGCAAACAAATCAGAAAGCTCAACATTAGTGGAAAAACTAAAAACAAAAAATGAAGAGTTACTCAACATGGAAAATGAAAACAAAATCCTCAAAGAAAAAAACGAGGCACTTTTTAAAGAGATTCTTGGTTTGAAAATGCATGTCTCGAGTATGGAATCTAACAGTGAGAAATTTACATGTGTAGGAGAAAAGAAAGTTGAAGAAAATCACTCTTCACCATATGAGCCTCGTAAGGGATATAAGACTTCTCCCAAGACAAAACCCCCTAAACCCAAAGTCCTGCTAGTGGGGACATCTAACACTAAGAAGATTAATCCAGACATTCTTAGTTCATCATTCATAACAACAAAGAAACTTGCATACACAATTGATGAAACCAAGAATACCATAGTAAGATATGAGGATGCAGCACCAGATGTTGTCGTTCTTCATCACCTCACCAATGATGTAAAGGCAAAAAGTCCTGAGACTTGTGTTAACGAGACGGAAGAAATTATCAACATCATCACTCAAAAATGGTCAGCCAAAGTGGTTCTGTCACTATGTACTCCTCGTAAAGACGACGAATTACACAGTGCAAATAGTGCTCTAATCAACGCCCTACTAAAGAAGAAATACAAAAGTGACTCAGTCGTGTATATCAGTGAAAACATAAACATGTCTAATAGGCCTGCCAGGGTCCTGAAAGGGACAATGTTCATCTTACACAAGATGGTGTTGCCATGTTAGCATCCAATATCAAAAGATCAATCCTTCTAGCTTTAGGAATCGAGCAGGCTCCATTGCAGATGGGAAAAGACCAAGACCCTGACTATCACCGTGCTTCACCAAATAAGTTGTACAAATACCAGCGAAAGTGGCGAAACTACCAGTACGCACCATCCGAACCATGGGAAGGGAGACCTTACCATCCTGCCAGCTATGGCTTTAACTACAATTACTAAATTTTCTTTTCTTTTTTATCACCATATCAGATGTTACTTATCAATTACACTGATGATATATATAAACAATGCCATTCTCTTAATGATTATTTCAATGTATGAATTTCATTCTCGAATATTGTACCACTTCCACTTATCGGTGCACCTGTACTCATGAATGTCATGTTTATTTGCAACTGATTTATTATTATTATTATTTTTATTATTTTTTTTTTCTTCTCACATATTATTACTACTAGATTATACATTGTATTAGATGTTTTGAAGGAATATTGTTACTACTAGATTATACATTGTATTAGATGTTTTGAAGGATGTTGTACCTTTTCTCTTGATTTGGGTTTGAAAATTTGGTATTTTTTCTTAGAATGTATCAGATGTACAGAAAAACAAATGTTAAATGTGCTTTTTGGAATGTTGGAGGATTGATATCAAAAGGTATGAACAAAATGGATGACGAGCTTTTTCTATCAAAAATTATAGATAAAGATTTAGTATTTCTTGTGGAAACACACATTGGACCAGATACAGTTGTATTACATGATGATTTTTACTGCCACACAATTTGTAGAAATAGGGTGAGTTCACCATGCATCGGACACATACCTTGCTTCGGACAACTTTAGGCAATAAACTCTCTTTCAACTTAAGAGTTCTGTGTATTTATTTGTTTCTGTCATAAAGACGAAGATTTAATTTTTTTAATGATACCGATTGCGTTTATCATGTTGTGATAAAAATACCCCGCAAATGGCCTTGAAGTTACGTCATATTTTACATCATCAAAGGGGAATAACCCGAAATTTATGATTTTGCAATTTTTAGAGTTATCGTTCTTTTAAATTCGACTTCCACGGAACGAGTCGGACTTTGGTGAATTTTGTCAGGGATGGGTAATTTTACATAAATTATAATTAAATTTCACTTCAATGTTTGTTTAATTCTTATTAGAGATGGTTTTTACTAGTATGCTATTTTCACCGTACATCGGACACAAATTAACCATGCATCGGACACTTTTCGATGCAAAGGTAAGCACTACCATTTTCATACAGAACCCAGCTGACAGATGTTTTTTGCGGAAAACGAAAATAAAAACTCTATATTTTCAGTCAAAATACAAGTTATCGATATATGACGTCTGGAATTTTACTCTATTTATTTCTACAAACCAGAGTATGATAAACCATGAGAAAAAGGCGCGAATTACGGCATTATAAGCATTTTAAAGCATTTCTAAGGCAGCATGAGGTCTCTAGAATCGTTCTACATTTGTGCAATAATATCGTCGATTAAATTAAAGTTGAGGGTTATTTCTTAGATAAAAGATGAAATTATATCCATATCAAGGATTTTAAAGCACTGTGATAAAGGTCTCCATACCGTCTGTCCGATGCATGGTGAACAATGTCCGATCCATGGTGAATTTTCAGTTTTTTCTAAAAACTCGATTTTTGGGGATATTTTCTTAATAAACGGCATATAATTGTGTCCTAAATTGTTATTTTAATCACAAACTAAATGTTAAACTCCATTTTGATAATTTTCCGTCGGTAGCGATATCGCTAGAACTTGTTGAAGTACAAGGGTATCCGATGCATGGTGAATTCACCCTATATCTAAAAATGGCAGATACTTTGGAGGGATATCAATATTAATTAAGCATGAGATTAAAGATCATGTTTCTGTAATTAAAAATACATGTAGTGAGTATCAATGGATCAAATTAGAAAAAACTTTTTTTAATTTTGAGAAGGATTTGTATATATGTACTGTTTACAACCCCCCTGAGGGATCACCTGCAATAACACGAAATAATGTTAATATTCTGGAACTCGTACAGAAGGATATTAATCAATATAAAGATTTAGGAAATATAATGCTTTGTGGAGATTTTAATGCTAGAACAGGAAATGCAACTGATTATATACTAGATGATAATAACCAATATTTACCCTTATTTGAAACATATAAAATTGATAATGATATTTTCAAAAGAGTTAATAGAGACACTTGTGTGGATAAGAGAGGAAAAGAACTAATAGATTTTTGTATTGGAAACCAACTTCGTATTATGAACGGAAGATGTTTTGGTGACATTTTTGGAAATTTCACTTGCCATAATTATCATGGAAGTAGTGTTGTTGATTATCTTTTAACTGATGAAGAAATTGTACAACGTATTTTGTTTTTTGAAGTATCAGATTTTATTTCCACATTATCTGACTGCCACTGTATGTTATCATGGAATATTTTTTCTCAACATGATTCTTCTAATAGAGAAAATAGTATAGATAATAATAATTACAAGACCCATTCATCCTTTAAGTGGGGGGAAGACTCTGCTATTAAATTTATAGAGGCATTACAGTCCCCCAAAATAAAATGCAATCTTGATAACACCATGAGCATCAATGACATAGAATCTATAGAATCGACAATAAATAGATTAAAAGATTCCCTGGAAGCTGCAGCCATTATGTCATTAAAACCAAACTTACCTAAAAATAAAACATGTAAAAGTAATAAAAGCTCTGCTAAACATAAAAAGAAATGGTTTGATAATGAGTTGATAAATATGCGCTCAAAACTAGTTAGGAAGGGAACTTTATTTGGCCACTACCCCAGAGATATCAATATTAAGAATCAATATTACAAAGCATGTAGAATATATAACAAACTACGAAAACAAAAATTTAGAACATACCATTCTAATATTATCAACAACCTAAATGCTTTAAATTCAACTGATCCAAAAAAATATTGGAAACTTATAGGCGAATTAAGAACTGGAAATACAAAGACAATTGATACATCAATCTCTAATAATGAGTGGTTAAACCACTTCAAAAAATTGAATAAAACTCATGAGGATTTCCTGGATCGAGATCAGTTTCTTAAAGACCAACTAAAACAAGCTGAGAAAACAACAACACCCATATTTAATGAACTTGACTACAAAATATCTTTCAATGAAATAAGTAAAGCAATCGGTAAACTTAAAAATGGTAAGGCAGCTGGTACTGATAGAATATGTAATGAAATGCTTAAACATGGTCAAACGGTATTGGTACCAATATTAATGAAAATCTTTAATGGTTGCTTAACTCATGGATATTATCCTTCTTCATGGTGTGAAGGATACATTACTCCAGTATACAAATCTAACAACACTAATGATCCCAACAATTATAGAGGAATCACAATAACCAGCTCAATTGGCAAACTGTTTAACTATATTCTTAACTCAAGATTAGATAAATATTTAAAATGCAATGATAAAATCAATCCTTGTCAAATAGGATTTACAAAACAAGCTAGAACTTCAGATCATGTTTTTGTCTTGAAAACACTTGTCGAAAAATACTGCAAATCAAAACAAGGGAAGCTATATGCTTGCTTTGTTGACTTTCATAAGGCCTTTGATAGTATAAACCATGCTGGTCTGAAGCTTAAACTACTAAAAGCTGGTATTAGCACTAAATTTTACTCAATTGTTAAGGATATGTATTCTAAAAGCTATTCTTCTATTAAACTGGGTAACAAATTAATCGGTCATTTCCGTACTTACAATGGGGTAAGACAAGGTAATAACATGAGCCCAAACCTATTCAAGATTTATCTCAATGATCTATCAAATTATCTGTCAAATTCTAAAAGTTTTGTAAAATTAAACAATGATTCATCTATGTCCATTCATTGCCTAATGTATGCTGATGACATGGTACTTCTCTCCCCAACTGCTGAAGGTCTACAAGAAAAACTCGATATACTAAGTAAATACTGTAAGGACTGGTGTCTCAAAGTTAATACAAAGAAAACAAAAATTATAGTCTTCAATTCATCTGGCAAACACGTTAAAATTCCATTCCATCTGGATAACAACAATATTGAATGTGTTAAACAATACAAGTATCTGGGTCTGACTGTTAATGCATCTGGAACACTAAGTAATGCTAAAAATGATTGTTGTAACAAAGCCAAAAAAGCCTATTTCAAACTTCAAAAAGACTTTCTAACATTTAATCCATCAATTAGAACTGCTTTAAATGTATTTGACCACACTATTAAACCCATTATCCTGTATGGTTCGGAGTTATGGGTTTTTTTTGACCCAACAACCTCTAAATTTAAGAGAAATCCAAATATAACACTAGACAAAATATACCAAAGCTTAGAAGGCGAAATTTTAAATCTTAAATTTTACAAACATTTACTAATGGTTCATGGTAAAAGCAGCAATTTTGCTGTAAGATCTGAGCTAGGACGTTTGAATTTACATTTTGATGTCATTAAAAATATGTTGTTATACTGGCATAGATTAGAGAATCTAGATGGTGAATTTCCCTTGCTTAGTGAGGCTTTTAACTGCTCTAAAACACTACACCAAAATGGTTTTACTTCATGGTATTCTTGTGTTAACTTCTTACTTAACCATATTGATATTAAAATTAGTGATTTCCTAGGTATGTCAACCCCACAATTTAAAACCAATTTGAAAAGAATATTACTGAATTTCTATAAATTAACATGGGAAAAAGACAGGAATTTACATAAAGATGGCAAATTGTCTACCTTTACCAGCATAAAGACCAAATTTTGTTTTGAACCTTATCTAGATATTCTTACAAACAATCAACATAGATCAGTTTTAACAAAGTTAAGAATATCGGCTCACAGGCTTAAAATTGAAATTGGACGTTACCAAAAAATACCTAGAGAGGAACGAATTTGTTCACTTTGTCATCACAACGAGATTCAGGATGAAATTCATTTTCTCCTTGTATGTCCTCATCTTAATGTACAAAGACTTGAACTCATAAATATTTGTAAAATTAAATGTAAAAATTTTCAGTCTCTATCTTATGATAATCAATTTTATTGGCTCATGACTAATGAAGACCCAGACATCCTTAGATCACTTGCTGGATTCCTTGGTAATTTACCTTAATTGAAGATATTGTGATAAGCATAAAAATTATATACCTCTTTCCCAGTTTCTTGCCTTTAACTATATATATATATATATATATATATATATATATATATATATATATATATATATATATATATATATATATATATATATATATATATATATATATATATATATGTATATATATATGTGTATATGTATATATATGTATATGTGTGTATGTGTATATATGTATAAATTATATATATTTGTATGTAACTTACAATACAATACATGTATGTATATTCAGTATATCTCTTATATACTTTTTTGCATATTTGTTTTTTTAACAATTGCTCTTTATTTGTAATATCATCATCATGCTTGTTCTATCATTTGGATCCTCCTCCTTCTATTTGTAAATCTTTTTGCTCCTCCGGGGGCCCAAATTGGATTAATAAAATCTTGTATCTTGGAGAATACTGGACACAAGTCAATTTTGTTAGGAAGGAGTTTTTGAAGAAAGAGTTTTTATTTCCATGTTTTTTTTCTCTCTTGTAGATTTTACTTGAAGCTGTGAATGACTTCATTTCCAATGAAACAAGGCACTGGAAGGCCAGACTTGGTGCTTATGATGTTGAAAAAACTGATACACTGAAATTTGTCATGTCTAATCCCCTCAATCTAAACATATCAATAACTGAAGAAAGTAATCAAGTGCCACAACTCTTGAAATATTGCAATATTTCTGACAAACTTTGGGTAAGTCTGATTTTTAGCTCTACTGGTCAGAGACCAGAAGAGCTTATGCGATAGTAATGCGTCCGTCGTCCGTCCGTCTGTCTGTCTGTCCGTCTGTCTGTCTGTCTGTAAACAATCTTTCAAAATGCTACTCCTCCTACAGTTTTGGTCTGATTTCAATATAACTTGGCACAAAAGTAGACTACACTAAGATACATAATTCTGTGCATCGGTTTTAAATTTCGATGAACGGTGTTGCCGTGGTTACTAAAAATAGAAATTTCTGTGAAATTCTTTCAAAATGCTACTCCTCCTACAGTTTTGGTCTGATTTCAATATAACTTGGCATACAAGTAGACTACACTTAGATACACAATTTTGTGTATCGGTTTTTGATTTCGATGAACGGTGTTGCCGTTGTTACTAAAAATAGAAATTTATATGAAATTCTTTCAAAATGCTACTCCTCCTACAGTTTTGGTCTGATTTCAATATAATTTGGCATACAAGTAGATTACACTAAGATACATAATTTTGTGTATCAGTTTTTAATTTCAATTAACGGTGTTGCCGGTTACTAAAAATAGAAATTTCTGTGAAATTCTTTCAAAATGCTACTCCACCTACAGTTTTAGTCTGATTTCAATATAACTTGGCACACAAAGTAGACTAAACTAAGATACATGATTCTGTATATTGGTTTTTGATTTCAATTAACGGTGTTACCGTTGTAACTAAAAATAGAAATTTCTGTGAAATTCTTTCAAAATGCTACTACTCCTACAGTTTTGGTCTGATTTCAATATAACTTGGCACACAAGTAGACTACACTTAGATACACAATTCTGTATATCGGTTTTTGATTTCGATTAAACAGTGTTGCTGTTGTTACTAAAAATAGAAATTTCTGTTAAAAACTCTCAAAATGCTACTCCTCCTGCAGTTTATGTCTGATTATAATATAATGTGGCATGCAAGTAGACTATACTAAGAACATAAAGAGACTTAATCGGTAAAGTTTCAATTCCCGACTGCTTAAGAATTTTTCTCTTCCTTTGATATAAGTACAAACCAGTAGAGCTTCAGTCTCGACAGAGACTTCTGGTTTTTATTTAGAATAAACATACAAGTCTTCTGACCCTTGTAGCTATTTGTGTATGACTTCTTTCTGATTCATCTCTTTTGCAGCCCGCAATGATGCCTTGTGCAGAAAACTTCAGTGACAGTCTCCCACACGCAGCTTCTGATTTGACCTGGTTGACATATGTTGTCCAGTTTACACAGCCCAGGAATCAGTTTGGCAATTACACTTTTAGTTTCTATTTTGAGGACAGCTCTAATGGAACTTCTTCTCCTGTGAACATTAAATTTGGTATAATGGAGATGCCTTGTCACAACAGTGGAACTTGTCAAGGTTTGTCTTGCCTGTATACACCTGAGAAGTGTGACTAAAGCTTTGCATGAAATGTGTTCAGCTTTTAGAAATTGTTGAGAATAAGATATATTTAGGTTCTTTAACTTTATATAAAAAGAAATATTTATAAAAAATCATGCTGAACTTTTCCACAGGCCTTATGCTGCTGATTTTCAGTTTCTTTGCAGTTGAGTTTAGACTACAGCAAGTTTAATTAATTCCATTTATTCTAGCTAAAGGAATCTACCCCTGTAATGATACCCACAGGACCCACAGCTTTGAGGCCTACTACAGATGTCAGTGTACCGGAGGATACCAGAGTAGATACTGTACAGAGGACATCAATGAGTGTCTCAGTGACCCGTGTGAACCTCCCTTTGTCTGTTACAACAATCAGAACAGCTACCACTGTGCCTGTCCCCCAGAAAACCCCAACTGTGAAATAGTTATATGGATGGTAGTCGTCAGTGTGTTCATAGTGGTCATCATCCTGGTACTGATAGGAATAGCTGTCTACAGATACAGGACGCAAAGAGGGTAACAGATAACAATTAAATAAGATGTCAAATATATAGATTATCCTGACAAATTTTTTTGTTTGTTCAACTGTAAAAATTTGTTTTATGTTTGGAACTTAACCAGCTGGGTTAGAGTATATTAAACTGATGATTATGAGCTCAGAAAAATTTAAAATTTATATGAAAGATTTCTGATTTTCTTCCTTTGACAATTTCAGCAAGGAGTATCTTCTAAGGTGAGTACATGTATCATAATCAAATGTAGCAATTTAAAACAAAAAAAATATGGCATTTTTTTTAACTTGGATCACTCAATTATGCGAAATATAAACTTTTTTTTTAAATTAAAATATAAACATACCTTTTCTTCTTCTTTCTCTTTAAAATTTAAAGATAAAATTAGCATATATGCATGATACTTCTTGTACTGATTACTGTTAGTTTTCTGGTTTTATTGTAGAAGAAACACTTCAACAACATCGATTCCATCTCAACTAGACTTCACAGACTCACATCAGGAACATGTAAGTTTGGTTTTGTGACAACTGTCCATTCCAAATTTTATTTATTGATCAGAATAAATGTATTATTGTTGTTTTCATTCTTTTAAAACAATTTTTAATGAAGCATTTTCAAAATATGTTATTGATATACATGTATGTTGTTGTTAATTATGATGCAGTTAGAACAAATGAAGAGTTTTTCTAAATAATTTGGAATGGTCACAAATTATGATCAGTGGGCAGTTGATTTTAATTTACATGTGAGGAATTTTACTATATTCCTCGACTGATAAACACTGGCACAGAATGTACCTAAAAAAGCAACAACAAAAAACTTTTTTTCTTATGCTTTTTCAATCATACAGTACATAAAAAAATCAGAAATTAAAGATCTCAGCACTAGTATATTGAAGTAGGTCAACATTAGAATAGATATTAACTAATAATCAAGCATCATAGCAAAACAATTTTGCTGACTTGTGTTTTGTGTGTATTCATTTAAGATTCAGTTGTGAATTTCTATTTGCATTTAAGGACCACAACTATCCAGAAGAGGGGAGGACTTTTTTAACATGAAGCCTCGTTATCTTGTAAGAAAAGAAATTATATTTTAATACATTTTTTTTTGTTGCTTGAAAAGCAGATTTATTTCTGTTGGCATCGATTTCAAACTCCGTTTTTACAATACAGGACCAAGAAAAGACTATTCCTTGGGCATTTCTTCAAAGCAAAAGTAATTCCCAGCCCTTTGTTGAAGATGAATATAAAAGGGTTTTTTTGAAGATGATGATGATGATGATT